TATATTGGCCAAGCCAATTTTTTTAATTTAATTTTTATTTAATTTTAAATGTAACCAGTTGTAAATTATTGTGATCTTTTGATGTTTTTAATTTTAGTTTAGTAATTTTATGTGCTTTTGTCATTTATTTTCTTTGGTTTTTTGGAATTGTAATTTTTATTTTTATTTATGCATGTTTTAATACTTTAACAAACTTATTTTATATAAGTTCTAAGGATTATTGGATGAGAGTCTGAGCACCAGGAGTTTGTCCTGGTTAGTCTGAATTAAGAGTTAACCTTAATAAGACAGACAGACTTCCTGTGCTGACAGACAGATAAAGGGTTTCTTTACAATAAGGTCTCATTTAGGTAATGCATTAGTTAACAGTGAGCAATAAAATACTATTTAAATAAAAAATAGCAATAATAATACAAATATTTTAAATTACAGTTGTTCATGGTAACTAATGAAGTTAACTAATAAGACCTTATTGTAAAGCAGTTTCTGTTAGTGTTGGCTTACATTTCTATATTTTTTTATTATTTTTTTTAAATATTTGTTTATATTTTATTTGAATAATAATTGTGATCTTTTGATGTTTTTAATTTTAGTTTAGTAATTTTATGTGCTTTTGTCATTTATTTTCTTTGGTTTTTTGGAATTGTAATTTTTATTTTTATTTATGCATGTTTTAATACTTTAACAAACTTATTTTATATAAGTTCTAATTTATGTTTACATTTTAGTATGTGCTTTTGACATTTTTATTAGCTGTTGTTTTTGTAATATTTTTTAATTCAATCTTTTTTTAAGTAATTTTAATACATCAATTTAAAACTATTTTATGTCGGATAGTTGCCAAGGTAACATTTCTAATTTTAGTTTAAAACTAGAACACTTCATATTTTCACATGCACTTTGGTTGGCTACTGTTCTTGAGTTTTTTTGCTTGTTTTTCAAACAGATAAAGTTGAGTGCAAAATTGATTGCATCAGATCAATTGAACCTCATTTTAACTTGTATATTAAACATCTTTGCTTTCGGTGTGGACAAATGAGTTGATTTTGGAAGAATCTCACCCAGTTAAGCTGTTTCTGCCGATCTACAATCAGACCTTTCTAAACGTCCCGTGAATGTCTGTAGGGCCCTCGGCGACCGTAATCCCCCCCTTGAGGGGCCTAAACGTTGTTACCGTGGCAACCTCGTGCCTCATTCCAGGGTTGTTTGGGTTAGCCAAGGAGGAAAGGGCAGCACAGGAAATGACAACATGCCTTGGAGGAAAAAGCCTTGAGTCTTGGGCCTCCCGGGCGCCTCTGCCGAGCGGAAAGAAAACATTACGAGAAAATGACACAAAGCGGCTAGTTGAACGTCCAGAGCGACTTCGTTTGACGACATGTTTTGAACTGTGAACCCTTTGTAGTGCTTTTCGTTCGTTACCGGCCACTTCCTCTGCCATCAAGCTTGGAATTTGACTGCAGCTCTTCATCCATTTCAAAACAAGGCTAGAAGAGGAACATAGCAGAAGAAAGTCAGTACAGCTGCCCTCAGGATCCAGACACATCAGCCGCAAACATTTTCTTAAACCGCAATCGAATCGCTTAACTAAACACACAGACAGACGGCATGTTTTCTCACGCACACACATGATCCGTTCATTCAGAAAGTCTTTCGTTGTCTCCGGTCCGACTGGCTGCTTGATCACAATGAACAATTCAACATCACACTATCATTATTTACCGTCTAAATGAGAATAAAACAACAACTGGGGCGTCTCCGCTCAACAGGCTCGACTGGTCGTCTAAACCAGGGTCTGGAAGGGAGTGCTGGTGGGGACGGGGGAAAGTTTATGGAAAAATAGTGTAAAAGTGTAAAAAATTATTAAATAATAAATATTAAATAAATAAATAAAAATGGAATAAAATAAATAAAAATATGATTAAAATAAATAAAAAATAGAATAAGATAAATGAAAATTAGGCTTAAATAAAAGACATTCATTAAAATAAATAAATAAATAAATAGAATGAGATAAATAAATAACAATTTGGTTAAAATAAATAAACATTCATTAGGTTAAAATTAGATTAAAATAAATAACAATTATAATAATATATATATAAATAAAACAACATTTTGTTTATAATAAATAAAAATGAGGGAAAAAAACAAAAATTTGATTATAATACATAACACGTAGTTTAAAATAATATATATAAATGAGAAAAAATAAATAGAAATTTGATTATAATAAAATTAGAATAAAAAAAATAATAAAATAAAAATGTTAAATAAATAATAATCTGATTAAAAAATGTTTTTGAATAAACATTTGAAAAAAATATGAATAAAATAATTAAATAAAAATCAAATTAAAATAAGTAAATAAATACTGTACAGTACTATACAGAGTAGAAAAACAACATAATAATGTAGCTGAATAGAAACTAAATATTTTCCAAATAATGCTTTATCATATTAGTGGTCTGTGGAATCTGAAATATTGAAAACTCCTCATGAAAAGTTTGCACAC